TTCCCTGCTGGATTTGGGATTTTTTTTCCCTCCATTTTCTCGTTGGTGCTGCCATTCCTTCTGCTGGGAATGGAGAGATTTCAAGCAGGAGCAGCTTCATCCCAAACCAGCAGCTCATTCCTCACAGGAATGTCATGATCCCGTGATGGATGAAGGATTCCCAAGCACAACTTGGGAAGTGTCCAAGGCCAGGATGGAAAAACCATGGCAGGATGGTCCTTAAGGTCCCTTCCATCCCAAACCCCTCTGGAATTCTCTGCTGCTCTCAAGGAATGGTTTTAGGGCAGGACGATGCTGCCAAGCTGGGCTGGGCTGGGCTGAGCTCCTTTGGAAAAACCCTTGGAAAACAGATGGGAACAAAATGGTGTTGGCAGCAGAGAGAGGTTTAAGGATATCACATCCCAAATTTTGGCAGCCCGGGGAGGTGACCGGAGCAGGGACAGCTGCCAGGATTTGAGGGCAAGGCAGGGAAAATCACAACAGGAATCTTGGGAATTGGGATTTTGGGAATTGGGGTTTTGGGAATTGGGGTTTTGGGAATTCTTCAGAAGTGCTGGGGCAGAACCCCAACCCCCATCCTCTGCCAAGGCCTGGGGGTTAATTAATGCCACAACAAACCCTCATTAAGAGGCTTAATTAATATTATTTCATTTTCAGAGAGGAGGCAGCTGTTCCCTGCTTCCCATAGAGGGAGGGTTGTGCAGGAATTGTCCTGCAGGGATACCTGGGATGGGATCTGGGGTCAGGTTTGGGTGCAGAGGGAGGGGATCCAACATTCCAGCCACGTCCCCAAGGATTTTCCAAGCCCTCATCCCATCAGCAGCATCCCTGTCAGTGGGCTCCATGGAAGGATGGATGTGGGAAGGTTGGATTTGATGATTCTGGAGATCTTTTCCTACCATCACAATTCCATGGTGCTTTCCATCCCTGCTTTCTGCCTGGGTGCCACCCCTGTGTGTGACACCTCTGTCCCCTCCTGTCACTGCCGGGCCAATCCTGCTCTTCCCCACCTTTAATTTGGGCTCTCAGGATTTTCCAGCCTCATTCCCGCAGCCAATTCCATGGAAATGGATGGAAGTGAATTCCCTGTGACTCCTCGTTCCCTCCTCTCACCCTGCACGAATCTTGGAGCTATTTTGGGCAGAGCATCCAAAATTTGCCCTTTTTTCTTGGAGAAGCTTCCTGAACTTTGGGCATCCTCCTTGTGGACCTGGGAGCACCTTCCTGGTGTTTTGATGGAGTTTGGGATTAATTTATCCCAGATCCTACAACATTCCAGCAGAACAAAACACTTTAAAAACAAAACCCTTTCTTTAGGAGGCAAAAAAATTAAACCCATCAAACAATAATCTAAGAATAAAAATCAGGAATTTTATGGCACCCTCAATAACGAACTCTGTCCTCAGAAGCTCATTTACGTATTTAAGCCCTTGTTTAATATTCTAATTAGCAGTTAATCAGCTATCGAGAGAGAACAAACGGTGATTAGCTCATCTTCACCTCCTCCAGGTGATTTGGGCTCATCAGCTTCGCGAAACTTTCCTGATATTCCTGAATTATTCATGGCCACGGGAATGTCCCGGGGTGGGATTTCAGGTGCATAACCGAGGGGGACATGGTGCCTTTTGGGGAAAAGGATGCTTTGGATGGGATTTGGGGGAAAAATTCCTCGCTGGGAGGGTGGGAAGGGGCTGGGATGGATATTTCAGGGGAGCTGTGGTTGCCACATTCCTGGAAGTGTCCAAGGCCAGGTTGGAACAACTTGGGATAGTGGGAGGTGTCCCTGCCCATTTAATTTAATTATTCCAGGCTATCATTTATCCCAATTCTTCCTCTTTTCCCATAGCTTTCCAAGGAGCTGGGAAACAAAAGAAAGCTCCTGCTGGAGGTCTGGAGGAGGAACTGGTGCAATCCCAAATGATCCTCAATTCCCTTTCCCTTCTTCTCTTTTTCCTTTCCCATCCCACCAAAGACGGGCAGGACGCTGCTCTCCTCCTCCTCTATTCCCAGGGAGCAGATTCTCAAAACTCTTGGAATTAATTTGGAAAGATTCCACCTGGTTTTGCCTGGAAAAGAAGCCCTGCCTGGCCAGGCTTTGGATCTTGAGGTTTGGCTGTCTGGGAGCAGGGATCAGCTGAGGTGACAAGGACTGGGCTGGCTCCCAGGAGAATCCATGAGGCACGAGCAGGTGGGAGAGAGAGAGGCAGGAGCTCCAGACAGCTGCTTCCCGGAATTTTAATTAATTCCCGAGCTTTTTAGCCTTCCCAGACGCCGGCTTTGCCAGGCTCCGGATTCCTGCCGCCTGCCAGGATGGATCAGGAAGGTCAGAGCTGCTCCTTGCCAAGCAGAGCTCCCTCACTGCTGCCCTCAGCGATTTCGGGGAAGCTCTGCTGCCTCTGGAAGGTGCAGGATCAGCTGGAGCAGCGTCCCTGGATGTGCTGGAGCTCACCCATCCCATCCCAGGCTGTGCTGTGTGGGACTGAGGAGCTCCCAAGGATTCCTGGAAACTCCTGGATGCCCAGGATGCTCCACAGGCACAGCAGAGCTTTTCCTGCTCTGTCCTGGGAAGTGGCTTTTCCCTGCTCAGCCCTGATCCCACCTGGAAGTCGCTTTTTCCTGCTCCAGGACCAAAACCCAGCCCCTGATCCTACCTGGAAGTGGCTTTTCCCTGTTCCAGGACCAAAACTCAGCCCTGTTCCCACCTGGAAGTGTCTTTTCCCTGCTCAGGCCCTGATCCCTCCTGAAGTGGTTTTTTCCCTGCTCCGGGACCAAAACCCAGCCCGAATCCCACCTGGAAGTGGCTTTTCCCTGTTCCAAGACAAAAATTCAGCCCGTGATCCTTCCTGGAAGTGACTTTTCCCAGTCCCAGGACCAAAACTTGGCCCTGATCCCTCCTTAAGTGGCTTTTTCCTGCTCCAGGAACCGAATTCAGCCCTGATCCCACTGGAAGTTGCTCTTCCCTGCTCCAGGACCCAAATTCAGCCCCTGATCCCACCTGGAAGTGACTTTTCCCTGCTCCAGGACCAAAACCCAGCCCCTGATCCTTCCTGGAAGTGGCTTTTTCCTGCTCCAGAACATAAACTCAGCCCTGATCCCACCTGGAAGTGGTTTTCCCTGCTCCAGGACCAAAATCCAGCTCCCAGCCCCTTCCATCCCTTCCATGTCCGTCCCAAAAGCGGGAAGGGGTCAAAGGAAGGGAATTCCCCCTTTTCCCCCCTCAGCCCGGTGCCGGGGGATGCTCCAGCCCCTTCCTGAAGGAAATCCGCGTTTTTCGGGAATATCCCAGGCTGGAAGAGCCAATTCCACGGGTTGGCAGCTCCCTCTCGTGGGGAGAAAAGGCAGGAAGAGCTGGGATGTGGCCCAGATGTGTGGCACAGCTGGAGCGGGATTTCTCAGAGGGGTCGGAAAATGGGAATTTTTTTCCAATGGGAATAAAGACACTTTATAGAACTTTTGAGACTTTAAACTTAGGGCTGTCTAATTAGACAGAGACTAAAAAGCCTAACCTAAATAATTCACTAGATAAAGAAGAGAACAAAGAAAAAAATTGCTTTTATGGAGTGTTTTAGTAAGACTAAAAACCTCTTACCCCAACTCAGTTTTTCTCTGAAAAAGCTTTGTTATTTTACCTTTTATTTAAACTTTTCTGTTTCCAATACTACCTCAGAAGCCATCCTGTTATTTTATGTCAACTTCTACCCTCAAAATTTTGCACCGCACCACGGCCTTGCTTAAATCCAAAGAAATCCACAAATCATTCCACTTATTAAGAATCCAGCTCGGTTTTATTGTCCATTTTTCCAAAAGTTAGTGTTATCCTCATCACAATTATAAAATATCCCTATTTTACAAAGATTTACAGCTCTGGGAGTGACCAAGTTGGAGCTGGGAATTCTCTTAAATAATCAAACCATGATTTTGGTTTTGGGGGTGGGGCTTGAAAAATTCCAATTTAAAAAAGAAAAGGGAAGGCTAAAAAGGGAATTTTTATCAGCTCCTTCAAACATCACAGGGAATTATAAAATTTATTCCTTTTTTTTTTTTGGCGGTGGGGGGAAAGGCTGCAGGGAGCAGATTTGAAACCCCATGGATGGAAACAGGATTAGAGGCCCTGATTCTGGTTCACATAAAGATCTCTTTACAGATTCTGGCAGCACAGAGGAACCCTAAAGTATATTTAAGTAAAATGTATGCTGCCAAAACTCTGTAAAAAAAAAAAAAAAAAAAACAGGTCCCAAAATTAACATTTTAGGGCCGTGTTTTCCCTGCGTCCACCCTCACCACAGGAACCAGGAAAGCGCGGCCGCTTCTCCTGGGAAAGCGCGGAAGCTTCTCTCCATGAACTAAAATTTATGCCCACTCTAAGATTTTTTTTATGCTGCCAGACCTCTGTAAAAGAAAATTAGGTCCCAAATTTGGGGTTATTCCCAAAATTAACATTTTAGGGCTGTGTTTTCCCTCTGTCCACCCTCACGCCAGAACCGGGAATGCGAGGCCACTTCTCGCAGTGTTCTGGTCACTTTTGGAAGGGATTTTCATGAGGGAATTACTCAGAATGAGGGGCAGCACAGAGGAACCCTAAAGTATAGTTAAATAGAATTTATGCTGCCAGAACTGAGTAAAACAAATCAAGTCCCAAAATTAACAGTTTAAGACTGTGTTTTCTCTGCTGTCCACCCTCATACCAGAACCGGGAAAGTGCGGCAGCTTCTCCTTGTGGGATTGCAGTGTTGTGGTCACTTTGGGAAGGGATTTTCCTTAGGAAATTGCTCAGAACGGAGCAACCCTAAAGCGTATTTAAATAAAATTTATACCCACTCTAAGATTTTTTTATGCTGCCAGAACTGTGTAAAAGAAAATCAGGTCCCAAAATTAACAATTTAAGGCTGCGTTTTCCCCCGCCTCCACCCTCACACCAGAAGCGGGAAAGCGCGGAAACTTCTCCCTGTGGGAGTGCAGTGTTGTGGTCACTTTGGGAAGGGATTTTCACGGGGAATCGCTCAGAACGAGGGGCCCTTGACGCTGCCCGGCTCCGGGAGGCGGGCGGCCGCGTAGGCCGAGGCTGCCAGGCAGGCGGCGGGCTCGCAGAAGCCGGGCAGGCCCGCGGGCCCCGGCAGCCCCGGCCGGCCCGCCTCGCCCGGGGAGCCCGGCAGGCCCCGCTCGCCCGCCTTGCCGTCCACAGCGTGGCCGGGGATGCCCGGGAGACCTGGAAAGGCAACGGGGTGGGATGGGTGGGGTGCTGAGAATCAAGCTGAGAGATGGGTTTTATCTGAGAAATAGGGGTTTTCCCCTCAGAAATAGGAGTTTTTCCCTCAGAAATAATAGGGATTTTCCTCTGAGAAATAATAGGGATTTTTTTTCCCTCAGAATCATGGATTTCCCCTCAGAAATAATAGGGATTTTTTTTTTTTTCCTGAGAAATAATAGGGATTTTTCCCTCAGAAATAGGGTTTTTCCCTCAGATATAGGGATTTTCCCCTGGAACATAGAGATTTTTCTCCTCAGAAATAATAGGGATTTTTCTCAGAAATAGGGATGAATTGAGGTTTTGTGGGATGAGCTTGTGCAGGTTTTATGGGATGAACTTGGGCCCATTTTGTGGGAGGATCCCAGGCAGGTTTTATGGAATAAACTTGAGCAGATTTACAGGATGAGCCTAGGCAGTTTTTGTGGGATGAACCTGTGTAAATTTTGTGGGATAAACCTGAGAAGGTTTTGCGGGATGAACCTGGGCAATTTTTGTGGAATAAACCTGAGCGGATTTACAGGATGAGCCTGGGCTGGTTTTGTGGGATGAACCTGTGCAGGTTTTGTGGGATGGATCAGAAGGTCCCCGGCCACCGCTGGGCTCATCACCCCAAGGTGACAAAGGCCACCTGGGGACACCTGGTCTCACCTGGGATCCCTGGAGGACCTGGCATTCCCGGGTGGCCACGGCCAACCTCTCCCCGCTCGCCCTTCTCTCCTCTCTTCCCTGTGGGTACAAAAAGGGGGGAAGGACTCCATGGCAACCCTGGATGGGTGATCAGGGATGGGGACAAACATGGCAGTGCCACCCCAGGAGGGTTTGCACCTGGCACCATGTCACCACCACCCACCTTTGGGTCCGACATTGCCGATCTGCCCGGCAGCTCCCAGGATTCCGGGGACACCTCGGGGTCCCATGGGGCCGTGGGGTCCCTGATCACCGGGTGGCCCTGGGGGGCCGGGGGGACCGAGAGGTCCCATGGCCCCGACCCCACCCAGGGCAGCTCTCTTGGCGCTCACGGCCACCTCTGCCAGCTGCTCTGTGGGGCAGAGAGGGGCCGGGATGGGATCCACGGGGTGGGATCCATGGGGTGGGAACCATGAGATCCACAGGATGGGATCCATGGGAAGGGATCCATGGGGTGGGATCCATGGGGTGGGAACCATGGGATTCATGGGGTGGGATTCATGGAATCCATGGGATGGGATTCATGGGATGGGATCCACAGGATGGGAACCATGGGGTAGGATCCACAGGATCCATGGGATGGGATCCACTGGGTGGGATCCATGGAGTGGGAACCATGGGATGGGATCCATAGGAAGAGATCCATGGGATGGGATCCATGGGGTGGGATCCATGGGATGGGAACCATGGAATCCATGGCATGGGATCCATAGGATGAGATCCATGGGGAGGGGATTCCACCGGATCCATGGGGTGGTGTCCCTGGGATGGGATCCATAGGAAGAGATCCATGGGACAGGACCCATGGGATTCATGGGATCCATGGGATGGGATCCATAGGGTGAGATCCATGGGGAGGGGACTCCACAGGATCCATGGGGTGGGATCCATGGGATGGGATCCATAGGAAGAGATCCATGGGATGGGAACAATGGGATCCATAGGGTGGGATCTATAGGAAGAGATCCACATGGGATCCACGGGATGGGATCCACTGGATCCATGAGGTGGGATCCATGGGAAGAGATCCATGGGATCCGTGGGATCTGGTGGCCCCGCTCCGCCCTCACCTTGCAGCATCTTCAGCACCACGTCCACGATGTGCTGGTCCCCAGCGTCCCGGCCCTGCCAGGAAGAGAATTTCACTCCTTTTGTCCCCTCCCAGAGCCCTTCCCAGCCCAAATCCCAATCTCCATCCCCTCCCTGCATCCCAGGTCACCTTCCCACCCTGCTCTTCCCTGTTCTGTCCCAGGGCAAGTGCTCAGCTTGCTCTGTGCTCATGGCATTAGAGTCCAAAATGAGGATTTTAGGGAAAAATCCCAACCCTTTAAATCCCTGCTGCTGGCTGGTTTATACAGGGACAGTTTTTGGATGCCATACACAGTGGGAAAGGCAGAATTCCTCCCCAGGAAAGCAGGATCCCAGCTCCTGAGTGGAACAGCAGCGTGTTCCCCGAGGAGCTGGGTGGGAAGCAGAGGCAATTCCTGCCGAGCAGGGAGGATGAGGAGGTTTGTAGGATCGGGGTACTCACGGCTGTGCCCCTCGGGCCCGGCATTCCCGCCACTCCGCGCTCCCCCACCAGCCCCCGCGGGCCGGGCGGGCCGGGATAGCCCCGAATTCCCGGCGCTCCTGCATCCCCCGAGGGGCCGGGAAAGCTGAGCTCTCCCTGGATGCCTTGCTGAGGAGGGATGGAGAGAGAGGGGCATGAGGGGCTCAGGCTGTGCTGAGCATGGGGGCTGCACCCCGAGAGCCCAAAATGTCCCAAAAAACATGGGCAGGGCTGGGTCCCAAACCGGGCTGGGGGTGAACCCAGGCTGGATCCCAAAAACTGGGGCTGGATCCCAAAAATTGGGTCTGGGGCTGAACCCAGGGCTGAATCTCAAAAACTGGGGCTGGATCCCAAATGGGGCTGGAGCTGAATCCAGGGCTGAATCACAAAAATTGGGGCTGGGGCTGAATCCAGCATTGGATCCCAAAAACGGGCTGGATCCCAAAATTGGGGCTGGATCCCAAAAATGTGGGCTGGATCCCAAATGGGGCTGGAGCTGAATCCAGGGCTGGATCCCAAAAACGGGCTGGATCCCAAAAACTGGGGCTGGATCCCAAATGGGGCTGGAGCTGAATCCAGGGCTGGATCCCAAAAACGGGCTGGATCCCAAAAACTGGGGCTGGATCCCAAATGGGCTGGAGCTGAATCCAGGGTTGGATCCCAAAAATTTGGGCTAGGGCTGAACCTAGGGCTGGATCTCAAAAATTGGGGCTGGGGCTGAATCCAGCATTGGATCCCAAAAATTGGGGCTGGATCCCAAAAATTGGGGCTGGATCCCAAAAATTGGGGCTGGATTCCATATGGGGCTGGAGCTGAATCAAGGCCTGGATCCCAGAAATTGGGGCTGGGGCTGAATCCAGGGTTGGATCCCAAAAATTGGGGCTGAACTTGAATCAAGGGCTGGATCCCAAAATGGGGCTGAGACTGAATCCAGCACTGGATCCCAAAACAGGGCTGAGCCTGAACCTGGTGCTGAGCCCAGAACCGAGCCTGAATCCAGGGTTTAACCCCAAGGAGGAGCTGAGCCTGAATCCAGGGCTGATCATGATCACTGGGCCCCATTTCCAGGGAAAATATTCCCCCAGCACCTCAGCAGGGAAGATCCAGCTCAGGATCCCACAAATCCACCCAAGTTTTGGGGTGTCCTCGGTCCCAAATCCCCATCACTCACCTGTCCCTTGGGTCCTGGCTCTCCTGACTCCCCCTGGGGACAGAGGACCCAGGAAAGGCAATGAGGACACAGCAGGGATTTAGGGTTGGGATTTAATGCCAGGCAGGATCCCCCAGCTTAGCAAGGGATCCCCCAGCATTCCAAGAATCTTCTGGAAGCACTCACCTTCTCTCCCTCGAGCGCTGCCAGGCCGTGGACACGTGGATCTCCCTAAAGGAAAGGCAAGGAGAGACGGGAACATTCCCAAAGGAAACGTTCCCAAAGGGGGAATTCATGGAGAAAGTGTTCGGAGCCAGTGTTAAAGCCAGCTCTGTTAACCCCAGCTCTGTTAAAGCCAGCTCTGTCAATCCCAGCTCTGTTAATCCCAGCTCTGTTAATCCCAGCTCTGTCAATCCCAGCTCTGTCAATCCCAGCTCTGTTAATCCCAGCTCTGTTAACCCAGCTCTGTCAATCCCAGCCCTGTCAATCCCAGCTCTGTTAATCCCAGCTCTGTTAATCCCAGCTCTGTCAATCCCAGCTCTGTCAATCCCACCTCTGTTAATCCCAGCTCTGTCAATCCCAGCTCTGTTAACCCAGCTCTGTCAATCCCAGCCCTGTCAATCCCAGCTCTGTTAATCCCAGCTCTGTTAATCCCAGTTCTGTTAATCCCAGCTCTGTTAATCCCAGCTCTGTCAATCCCAGCTCTGTAAATCCCAGCCGTGTTAATCCCAGCTCTGTCAATCCCAGCTCTGTTAATCCCAGCTCTGTTAATCCCAGCTCTGTCAATCCCAGCTGTGTTAATCCCAGCTTTGTTAATCCCAGCTCTGTTTATCCCAGCTCTGTAAATCCCAACTCTGTCAATCCCAGCTCTGTTAATCCCAGCTCTGTCAATCCCAGCTCTGTCAATCCCAGCTCTGTTAATCCCAGCTCTGTCAATCCCAGCTCTGTTAAACCAGCTCTGTTAATCCCAGCTCTGTCAATCCCAGCTCTTAATCCCAGCTCTGTTAATCCCAGCTCTGTTAATCCCAGCTCTGTCAATCCCAACTGTCAATCCCAGCTCTGTTAATCCCAGCTCTGTCAATCCCAGCTCTGTTAATCCCAGCTCTGTCAATCCCAGTTCTGTTAATCCCAGCTCTGTCAATCCCAGCTCTGTCAATCCCAGCCGTGTTAATCCCAGCTCTGTCAATCCCAGCTCTGTCAATCCCAGCTGTGTTAATCCCAGCTTTGTTAATCCCAGCTCTGTTAATCCCAGCTCTGTAAATCCCAGCTCTGTCAATCCCAGCTCTGTTAATCCCAGCTCTGTCAATCCCAGCTCTGTCAATCCCAGCTCTGTTAATCCCAGCTCTGTCAATCCCAGCTCTGTTAAACCAGCTCTGTTAATCCCAGCTCTGTCAATCCCAGCTCTGTTAATCCCAGCTCTGTTAATCCCAGCTCTGTTAATCCCAGCTCTGTCAATCCCAGCCCTGTTAATCCCAGCTCTGTTAATCCCAGCTCTGTTAATCCCAGTTCTCCAAATCCCGGCTCTGTTAATCCCAGCTCTGTTGATCCCAGCTCTGTCAATCCCAGCTCTGTTAATCCCAGCTCTGTTAATCCCAGCTCTGTCAATCCCAACTGTCAATCCCAGCTCTGTTAATCCCACCTCTGTCAATCCCAGCTCTGTTAATCCCAGCTCTGTTAATCCCAGCTCTGTCAATCCCAGCTCTGTTAATCCCAGCTCTGTCAATCCAAGCTCTGTCAATCCCAGCTCTGTTAATCCCAGCTCTGTCAATCCCAGATCTGTTAATCCCAGCTCTGTTAATCCCAGCTCTGTCAATCCCAGCTCTGTTAATCCCAGCCCTGTTAATCCCAGCTCTGTTAATCCCAGCTCTGTTAATCCCAGCCCTGTTAATCCCAGCTCTGTTAATCCCAGCTCTGTCAATCCCAGCTCTGTTAATCCCAGCTCTGTCAATCCCAGCTCTGTTAATCCCAGCTCTGTTAATCCCACTTCTCCAAATCCCAGCTCTGTTAATCCCAGCTCTGTTAATCCCAGCCCTGTTAATCCCAGCCCTGTCAATCCCAGCTCTGTCAATCCCAGCTCTGTTAATCCCAGCTCTGTTAACCCAGCTCTGTCAATCCCAGCTCTGTTAATCCCAGCTCTGTCAATCCCAGCTCTGTCAATCCCAGATCTGTTAATCCCAGCTTTATAAATCCCAGCTCTGTTAAGCCCAGCTCTGCCAATCCCAAAGGAAATGGTGAAGTTTCTTATAGCATTTTTGTTACTCTCATGCAAGGGAGATGAAAAGACCATCACAGAACAGCCAACCCTGAACTTTTTAAAAATCAGGAATCAAATCCCCAAAATGATAGAATATCCTGAGTTGGAAGGGACACACAAGGATCATAGAGTCCAACTGCAGACCCTGCACAGGATATCCCAGGACTCACACCCTGTGCCTGGGAGCACACTCCATGGACTCTGTAGCAAATCATGTAACACACTGACTTTTAGCTATTTCAAGTGAATATAGGATTCATATGTGCATTTTTCCTCCAAAGAATGAAGTTGTGGAGGGCACAGCAAGACGCATTTTGTTCTGTGCTAGCAGTCTGTAAGTGGTGAGGAAAACCTTTGCTTTCTGATATTACAGAGAGAGGCATGAAAAGAGAGCAGGCTGCTGGTGCCTCCACACATGAGGTGCCCCTGAGTGAGTGCAGAGATCTATGCTCTGATTACAGACAGCACTGAAGGATGTCACAACTGCCAGAGAGCCCCACGCCTGCAGGCAAGCAGGGATTTCCCTCTGCCTCTAGGACTCATGTCTTCAAATGGATAGTCCAAACGGGAGTCCAAAAATGGGCAACACACTGAAACTTTCTTCCACAAAGGGGAAGGCATCTGTTCCGATGGCTTGACTGAGTCTGAACCACAGGTCACCTCCTGTGTGCAGTGCACAGGGAAGCCAGATTTCCCAGAGGATGCAGTTCCACATGGGTGATTGGCATATGTGGTGCTACTGACAGGCAGCCTGAAAATTTGGCATTTTTTCCACGTTTTAATTCCTCAAGCTTTAGCACTGTGGGATTCATACTTCAGAAGCCATGATTCTTGGCATATAATTTGCAGAGGGGCCCTGCACCTTTCCTTTCCTTCTCCCTTTCTCTTCTGGATTTTTATACAGGATTTTAATTCTTTTCCTTCCCTTCCCCTCCCACCCCCAGCTGCTTTAAGTTGATACAGGAGAAAGTAGAGGTCACAGGAAGAGTGAAGACACATAATCTAATTTTCATTTTGCCCATTAATCATGCATGATTCCAGCCAGCCATTTAACAAGGTGGAACTCTAAAGTGATCACTCTCCAGAGTGATGGGGGAAAATTCACTCTAATTCCCATTGCTGCTCCCCACTCCTGTTCGTGCTGCACAGAACCGCCTCTCCCTCTTACAGAGAAAAATGGATCTACATGTCCCAAAAAATGTATGCTGTCCTGGAAGCCTTCTCAAGAGCTTTTTACTATATTTAAAAGTGTCAAGCTGAAGCTGTTGGTGCTTCATTTGTGGGTGGCTGGATTTTGTGGAGGTGTGGCTCAAAGAAAATCAAATAGGAAGCTTTCTATTTTAGTACATTTTGCTATGGAGTGGTAACTATTGTTACACGTTATTCTAGCTCACAAATCAGAGAGCCTGGAAGCAGTTCTGTGTCTGCACCCCTTATATGCTCTCTGCTGTTTCTCAGACTCCCAGCTAGTCAGGATCAAACCTCCTAAAGTGAGACAATTCTGGAAATTACAGAGATGTGCATTAGGGATGTATCGGGCCCTGCACGTGCACAGGTGAGGCAGGAAAAGGAAAAGGCACCTCCTTTCCCTCCTTTCTCTGCTGGAGTTTGATGAGTACTGCAACATTTGCCATCTTGCAAGATGGGTGAACTCTGGACATCCCAGCTACTCCACAGTCAAGGAAGCTTCTGTATTTCACAAGGTTTCTGTGCCAGCTGTGAATGCCCCAGTCTCTTTCCACTCACTGTGATTTTGTCAGAGAAAGAGAGCTTATCCTGAACTTTGAGGTAAGAGGCCCAAGGACACTCCCTCGGAGGGGAAAAAATGGGTTTTCCATACCAAAGAGGTGATAAGCCTGGGAAGTGTTATCTCCCTCAGAGGCCACTCAAGGGCATCATTCAAGAGAAAGTGAGAATCAGCAGTACATTCCTTTGCCCTTTCAAGGTCTCAGAGAAACACTGGGATGTTTAAAGGAAGAGGAGTGCAAGTACACAGAAGCAGGATAAGATCTGAGTATGTCCAAGGCTGAGTTGCTGACAAGCCCTGTTTTGGGGGGACCCTGAGCAGTTCAGTCTGCAATGGAAAAGGCATTTGCCAAGACAGCATTGCCACTCTGGAGTCTTCTGCTCTACTCTAGTGACAAAGAGGTGCTCATTGGCTCTAGGAAAAACCTGTGTCCTGCAGCTGGCTGTCCATCTCTCTCCAAAAAACTGCAGCCCTGTGTCTAGGAGGTTTCTCTAATAAGATCAGTGACTCAAGTAAAGAGGCTGTGATTCCTAAGCCAAATTGTTAAGTCCCCAGAACTACAGGGATTTCCCAAAATGCCAATGCTATATCATCCCTGACAGGCTATGGAGAGGTGTCATGGGGACCAAAAGCCCCTTTAGGGCCACTCTGATAGAAAAAGGGCGACAAAGAGGTGAAATGGAAGATTTATTACATTTTGTTTCCCAGTTCTTAAGGGCTAACAGCTAATGCCTGTGAAAGCAGGAACATGGTAAGGGTAGCAGGGATTATATTTATCTGTCAGTGTTTCTAATCAAATGTACCAACTGTGGAAGACGTTTGGGCATTCTTGTCTAGTGAAACCAAAATGATAAAGATACAGAGAGAAATTTTAAAAGAAGAAATGAGACTTAGAGACTCAATCACATAACTGCACTCAGTTTCTGTGGGATTTGGGAGCATCGCTGCCTTTGTGAAAACTTCCCTTTGCATGTGAAGAACACAGCTGGGTGAACTGAAACACTGCACCTGCTGTCAAGAGGATGGAACAAGAACAGGCAGACCGGCTCGGTGCTCATGATTCTACTAACTCAAGTTTTAGTACTCCAAAATAGAATTACCATGAAGTTCAGGAGCAATTATGTGTAACAATTAAAAGAATTTTCATAATACCATTATTGAGCAAGCCCTCTGTATTACAAGCAACTTTATTAGCTGTTGAGCCAAGCCATATTTCACAAGCCAAAACCC